GCAGGAGAATTGCCTGAACCCAGGAGGCGGAGGTTGCAGTGAGCCGAGATTGCGCCATTGCACTCCAGCCTGGGTAACAAGAGCGAAACTCCGACTCAAAAAAAAAAAGAAATAGTAAACTAGGAGAGATCTTACAAGTGCATTTAATCACATCTCCTTTCCCACATGAGAGACATACAAATGTTTAACAACCCACCCAGGGGCCCCATATTATCAGGATTTACCTTGTCCCTCTTGGGCAGGGAGGGATACAGGTACCATTATCCTACAGAGAATTGATCCAACTGGGTAGACAGACACAGTAATGCTGAAGCCAGGTCTCTCTGTGTCCGGGACTGTTTTGCCTTCCTTTAGACAGTAGTCCTGGAGGATCCCAGCCCAGCATCACAGTGGCAAGACACTTGGACACTAGCAGCCTCCTCTGATGACACCTGCAAAGGTACATAACACCCCTGTGGCCCTTGCTGTACATTTTCAGACTAGCACACTATTGCCCTGGAATGAAGGAGAATTGCAGCTGATTATTTTGGGAAACACACACACACACACACACACACACACACACACACACACATCCCATAAAGGTTTTCAATTTTTTTAAAAAAAGGCCACTCAACTGGGAGACTGTGCATTCTAATGAGGCAGGACACCTGAGTGCTTATCTGAAGTTTGTCATCACATATGGGATCTTTGGGCAAGCTGCTGTACTTCCTTGTCCTGCATTTTCTGTTTTGCCAAATGAGCTCTTATGTTCTTCACCTGAGTGCTCATCTGAAGTTTGTCACCAAATATGGGATCCTAGGGCAAGCTGCTGCACTTCCTTGCCTTGCGTTTTCTATTTTGCGAACTGATCTCTTACATTCTTTTTCAGTCCTAAGTTCCATGATTTTATTCAAAACAATCCACAAAGTGTTTATAGAGAAATAATACTGATTTCTCCAGTATTATGAAAGTCAGTTTATTCTCTTAGACATCATATTCTATATAAATCATTGTGAGATAAATGGGAATTGGTTATGTATTTCTTTAGTGACTAAATACATCTTGCAGTGATGTAGTCATTTTCTTAAGTCTTCCTTAGTTATACCAGAATCTCAGAATCCATAAAAATGTTTTAAAAAGCCAAGTGTGCTGATTTAAACTTGTAATCCCAGTGACTTGGCAGCTGAAGCAGGAGGATCACTTGAGCCCAGTAGTTCAAAACAGATCAAAGACCCCATCACTAATAAATAGACAGACGACAGATAGATAGATAGATAGATAGATAGATAGACAGACAGATAGATAGATAAAAATTTAAAAGTGTTTAAAAGATGCTAAGAATTTCTTTTACATTTCTTATTTTTCACTATTTTTGGTCTAATCGTTTCACAATCGCTTTGATAGAATATTGGCATAATCATTTCATCATCATTTAGGGATAAAAATGAAGCCATGATGTAAGTTTCAAGAAATCTCTCTATAATTTTTATCACTCTAATTTTAGGATAAAATAATAAGATGTACTGTACCTTCTTATACAGTTTATCAGCTCAGGAACGTTGAGGCTATAATTCGAAAGAACCCACCACACAACACCTGCCACTCTTCTCATCCTGCAGGCTTTTCAAATACATTGTATAATAGCATTCTTATGTGTAGGAGAGCAGGCACAATGGAGATATGCATCTGAGGTTTATTTTAAACAGGCAACGGTTCTGGCTTGCTGTCCGTCCTCCTTCTCTGCAGCCGTGGGCACTGAGAGTGGCTCTGTCTACTTCATCAGCGTCTACAATGAGGAAACCCCTCAGGTCATGCACAAGGCCTTTCTCTCGGAATCTTCCGTGCAGCATGTTGTGTAAGTACCTTCTACTTCCAGGAGCAGCTCTGTGTCACACCCATCTGTTGAAAATTCCAGTGAAGCCATAATTTCTTTTAATTTTAAGTTTTACATGTTTCATTTGTTTTGAATGCCAATACATTCAGTCAGTTCAACACTCAAAAGGTACACAGGGCTGTGTAGCAAAGTACCCCCCATACCCAGGTCTATCCTTGGAGGCAGCCTGGTACCAATTTCTCATGTCTCTCCTGAGATGTTTTATCCATGAACAAGCAAAAACTAATAAGCACTTCTTTATATTTGTATCAATAGCCATCAAATGTGTATAGTGTGCCAGGTACTTCTGCTATATTAACTCCATGAGGTAAACACTCTTCTTGTCTCTATTTGACAGACGAGGAAGATGAAGCACAGAGTTTAAATAACTTGCTCAATAGTACACAGATAGTGAATGGCAAATGTTGGGATTTGAACCCAGGTAGTTGGGCTCCAGAGTAACTGCCTTTGTTCTTAAAAGAAGAAAACTATGTACAATGCCTCATTTCTTTTTTCACTTAATGGTATATCTTGGAGAACGGTTTATATCCACACATAAAGACCATCCTTATTCTTTCTATAGCCACATAGTATTCCATTATATGAATATACTATCATTTTTTAAAAACAGCATATTGATGAATATTTAGAATATTTCAAAACTCTTGAGGCAATACTCTTAAGATGACAATATAGAGACATTAGATTTGGACTTGTAGTTGCGATCATTATTACCTTTTCTTTTTAATATATTATTAGGTATTAATAAGAATGGACATTTGTATTCTGCTTTACAGCTTGAGGTCACTGTAGCTTGTTGAATGTGATCCTCAAAATACCAGTCAGAAAGGTGTTATTCAGATCCCTATTAGACAAATTGGTGATTTCAGGGTAAGAGAGGTGAAGAAAAGCATTGCCCAAAATTACACATTACACAGCTAGCACACTGAGGAGTTGGCCCTGCCACCATGGACTGCCCAGCTCCACCATCCTAGCTCAGTGGGGAAGGATGGATAACCTCCCTCCATTTTCCCCCAGCCCTTCTACACCGTATTTTTTTGTGCCTTTCCTTTCTCACATCTCTTATTCTAATTTGTGTCTTCCCACTTTTTCTAACTTGATAAAGTTGTAGACATGTTTCACTACATTCTTCCTCCCACTGATAGGTACCAGACACAGGGTAATGAAATGTCATTCCCACCGCCAATTTGAGAATTGCTTATTTGTGCTTAAAACATCAAGAAAGCTCTACCGACATGTTTCATTCACTTATGATGAACCAACTGCCCATCTTTACTAAATCTTCTTGACTGTATTTATTAAAGTTATAATTTGGAAATAGCATTGGCCTAAAGTAGAATGATTATATTTATATATAATCACTCCATTTGTATAAGGTCAGAGAATGTTAAAAATCACAGACCAGCCCGGGCACGGTGGCTCAAGCCTGTAATCCCAGCACTTTGGGAGGCCGAGGCAGGTGGATCACGAGGTCAAGAGATCGAGACCATCCTGGTCAACATGGTAAAACCCCGTCTCTACTAAAAATACAAAAAAAACATTAGCTGGGCATGGTGGCGCGTGCCTGTAATCCCAGCTACTGAGGAGGTTGAGGCAGGAGAATTGCCTGAACCCAGGAGGCGGAGGTTGCGGTGNAGGAGGCGGAGGTTGCGGTGAGCCGAGATCGCGCCATTGCACTCCAGCCTGGGTAACAAGAGTGAAACTCCGTCTCAAAAAAAAAAAAAAAAAATCACAAACCATAAAAATGACTGGCTTTGAACATATCTCTGTGGTCATTCATATCTCTGTGGTTTTACCATCTAGCTGGTGAAACAATTGGTATCTGATCATCAGATTTCTTCTTTTCTAGTTATGATCAGCGAGGAATATTTCTGTTAGTTGGAACATCAGAAGGAAAAGTCTTTGTTATCAATGCCAAATCCTCAAGCTCATTTCAGATTATTGGATTCACAGGTACAACACAGAATGCTTATTAATTAAAAATATTGATTATTTTATTCCAAAGAATTGAAGGTTATGAAAATAGAATTATATTGAAACAATTATTTATGGCATATTTTCTGAAAGAGAAACAATTAAATAACTAAAGTTACCTAGGAGAATTCTCACATTATATTTTGATGTATTTGGAATATTAGAGTTATCTGCTTGGTACATAATTGATGCTAAATAAACTTTCTTGAATCAATTATTGAATAAATTAATGAAATGGCTGGGCATTTCTAATACTAATATACAAAGAAGTTGGGTTGATTTCTCTCAAATATTTTTAAATATTTTATTCTAAGAAAATTCTTTTCTCTCTAGCGTTACATAGTAACTATATATGTATATTCTCCACACATACACAATTAAAAAAAATTTTTTTTTGCTCCTCACACTTTACTAAGTCTCACCCCTAAATTTTTAAATTCATTCATTGGCTTATAAAAATTAGTGAGGGCCTACTAGGTGCAAAATGCCAAAACTAGGCCTTGTAGGGGGATGAAAATATTAAGGAGACAATTTAGTAGAAGAGGAAAAAGCAGAGTGGTGTGCAGGCTCAGATGCAGCAGCAATTAATTCTGCCACGTGTGAGGAGAGCAGTGGAGGTGAAGGTGGGCAGTAGTCAGGGGGCGCAGAGGATTGGAAGAGAGTTTTTTTAAGGGCTTAACGTAGTAGGTTTGAAGGATTTTCATAGGTGTAGGATAGGACATGTTAGTATTCCTACTCAAAGTAATAACCCAAACAAAGGTACTTGAAATGGTAAAAAGTCTGGTATAACAGGTAAATGGAAGAGTTTACTAGAAGATGACTATGGCAATGAAGTCTGGAAGAGGAAAGACCTTGAATATCTTTCCAAAGAGTCTGGAATTGTTCTGTGGTTAATGAGACATCATCAGTGGTTTCAAGATGGAGCTGGCATGATTTGACTTGGTTTTTAGGGACTGATTCTGACACCAGTGTGAAGGATGAGGTAGGCAAAAGAATAAAATTAAAAAGAGGAGATTGGAAGCTATAATACTAGCCACGGCAAGAGATAATAATAGTCATAATCATAATAACAGCCAACACTTATTGAGGAATGCCTTACTATGTGGTAGCCAGTATTCTAAGCCCTCGGCATGTCTCTACCCATTGAATGCTTAGACAACTTTCATGAAATTGATACTACTATTATCCCATCAAATGAGGCAATTGAAGCACAGCGAGGCTAAGTACTTGTTCAAGGTCATTCATCTAGTTAGTGACAGAGCCAAATTAAGGAAATCCAGTTTCAGGGTGTATGCACTTATCCACAATGCACAAACTTGTGCTGCAGTTATGGAAAGAGAAAAGAGGGCACAACTGTGAGTGATGGAATTGGTAGGACTTGGTATTTGATTACATGCGAAAGGAAGGGGTCCACAATGACTCCAAAATTTCTAGCCTGAATGGTAGAAGTTTGTGATGTCATTAGTTGAAGAAGAAAGTCATAGAGATTGAGGGATAGGTTGAGCTGACGGATTCTGTAAGTTTAAAGCCAATAAACTCTTCATTTGGGCATATTTCACATAAGTTTGGAAACAGGGATATGTAGTTCAAGGCTTAATAATAGAATTTTGATCTTGAAGTCATGGAAGCTGATGAGATGGCTAAACAGAGTAGAAGTATACCTAAATTCTTAATGGGGAAAAAGAGGTGATTAAATATGCAAATTTGATGGTACCGAGTATGGTAGGACCTGTGGCTGACCTCAGAGTGGACATATATTCCATTTCATTTCATTTATTTTATTTTATAGCTAGAGTCTTGCCCTGTCACTCAGGCTGGAGTTCAGTGGTGCAATCATAGCTCACTACAGCCTTGAACTTCTAGGCTCAGGCAATCCTCCCATTTCAGCCTCTTGAGTAGCTAGTACTACAGGCTTATGCCCCAAAGCCTGGCTTTTTTGATTTTTTTTTTAAATTTTCTAAGTAGAGAAAATGTCTCCCTATGTTGCTCAGGCTGTTCTTGATCTCTTGGAGTCAAGCAATCGTCCCACTTGAGCCTCCCAAAGTGTTGAGATTACAGATGTGAGCCGCTGTTCCTGGCCCCATTTTTTAATGTATCTGTTTGGCCAGAGGGTGGGATGGAAGAAGCTGGGACTACAATGCTGATTTACATTTTACGCTGAAGCTGTGGACAGAGGAAGATGAGGCAGTGAAGAAAACTGAGGCTGGGCCAGAGTAATAAGAGAACTGGGAGTCATCCTCTCCAGAAACAGTCTAAGGAAGGAAGGCAGATGTAGGTACAGGCTGACACAGAAGTGTGGGTAGGGTGAGGGCGGGATAGGCTCTCATATATTTGCCAATCACAGGCAATCCATGAGAGAGTTGTTTCTATAGAATGGAGAGACAAGGTTGGGGAGGGAATAGAGGTAAGAAAATCAAGTGAGTAAGTGCCAAACCTATTTTACGAAGTTTGCAGTGGAGAAAAAGAGAGTCAGATGGTAACTGTTGTGGGACAACAGAGTTGGAGGAAGGTTCTTATTTGAAGACAGCAGAGTCATGAGGGCTGAATAAAAGGAACCATAAGACACTCAAGAAGCTTAAAAAGAGGTAATTGGTAATGCATGGTCTAATAGGAGATTGGATGAATGGGCTCAAAATCACAGACAGAAAGGGATTACTTTTTGTTCCTACGTCAATGTCAGGAAATGAAGGGAGAAAATGGAAACGGAGAGAGGAAAATGTGAGTCTCAGGATAAGAAAGTTGAGGTTGAGTTTATGTAGATGTCCTTGTTCTTCCTTGTTAAGTAAGAGGGAAAGTCATCTGCTGACCACCTGGGGAAAGGCTGGTATCAGGGACTGAGAAAGTGGGCACCTGCAGCACAGTCCCATGAAGAGTGGAAGAGTGAATCTGGAACAAATCCAGGGTGGGCTCCAGCCCGGCACACCTTGCAGAGGCTAGATCAGCTGGATTTCTAATGGAGCAAACTCATAAAGTCACATTTCCACCACACCCACAGTCCTTGACCACAGATGCAAAGAAGACCAATGCCTGAGTTTACCCAATATTAAGAGTAGGTAACCTGGCTGGAGTGAACTTGTCGGGGACAGCACATGCAGGTGCTGGTTTGGGGGATGGAGGGTGGAGGTGGTACACTCTGGGGCCACCCTGGCTGGGAAAGAAACCCAGACAGGTTGGGCTGGTTTGCATCTGCTGGTCTTGACATCTAAGCAAGAGAATCCCTCATCCACTCATCAAAAATGTCCCTGTAACTTATGTTTAAACGTCACTTTAAATGTCGAGCAAATAATTTGGTTCTAAAGATTTTATGAAATCAAGTCCATAAGGTGATATCTTCATTGGAAAGGTAAACGAGTCTTTAAACTTATCCGTGACTGCTTGTGTTGTTGATTTCCATTTGCTTTCAGAGGTGGCCAAAGACATTGTACAGATATCCACAGTGTCTCTTTTAGAAACAGACATAGTGGAAGTGATGGTGCTTTCCTCACTTCTAGAAGCAGGAAGAAGCAGGTTGGAGATGTTCACACTGCCTATATTACTGTCACAAGGTAAAGAAAACACAAGCAACCAATTCTGTTCCTGAGCTCAGCTACATGATTGTTACTGTTTTTTGGGTTTGTTTTGTTTTTCTCTTGACATGTGAAGAGGTAAAATGGCTACCTTTTGTCCATCTTTACAAAGTAAAACCTACATGCTAAACAGTGTGAAGTGTGGACTTTCCTCTGGCCTTCGTGACTCATGAGTCTGCTTTATTACCAGAGGAAAAGAGATAGGATCAACTGACAGGTCAAATTGATTTGTTATTCTTGTGATATGTCTTGTTTTGCAGCTTTAAATAGACATGATTAAATTCAGATAGGTTACAGTGTAGTTCTCTTCACTGACAAAATTATAAAGGAAGTTTTCTGGATAAAAAGGTATGAGAAAATGGATACTCTTTCCTTGTTTTAATGGCAAATTTATCTGGTTAGCAGTTTTGCAAATGCATTATTATAGAACAGAAGAGAGTAGAAAATCTCAAAGTACTTTTTGTTTTAATAAGAATCTCTATAGTACTATGGGTTTCTTTTAATATGTCTCTAAGTTAATTGATTAAAAATTAATTAAGACATTAGAGAAATATTTTACCCACTATCAGTCATTTAATACTCAAGTATTTCTAGGGAGACAAGTTGTTTTTAAATCATTTTTATCACCTACTAGCTTCTGCAATATTAATTGAGCATTTAAATTTTCATTTTGCTTTTCATAATTGTTCATAATATTTTTTTTAAATTAATATATGGTACAAGTGATTTCTCTTCTTTTTCCAAATCTAATAGTTTCCACAACCTTTACTGATGAAAGAGGAAGGCTGAAAGATGCACTCATTCATAAGTACCTGTATGAGCTGGAGCACACTCTGTCCTCTGCAGTCTTCGACTTTCAAAGTAAACAAATATATGGCTTCTGTAGTCACGTGCCATACATCTGCAGCTACCTTCTCCCTAAAGAAGTATGTCAGCACTTAAGTGTGCTCCCGTTTATCTTAGCATTCAAGATGGACACATTGTGCTGATTAGATGTGATCCTCTTGACTACTTTAACCAAATAGTTCAGTTAACAAATGTCTTCATTATATTAATATAATTCCATTGAGTTAGATATATAATGTTATTTGTTAATCTATCATACAATGTATTTGAGCAACCTGATACTTGTGTCACATATATCATATTTGTCAGATAAATATGCATATGACGCAATATTAGTTTAGTGCCTTAAAAAACAACCTAGCATTAGAAAATCTATTCTATAGATGCCAAGGGCTACAAGGTAGATGATTTGATTTTCAGTGGAACTTTGCACCTAAGCTATAAACAAAATTGCAAAAAATAATTAAACTGTGTTTCTGGCACTTTTTTCATTCCGCTGTCTTTGGACTGCTCGTGCATTGTGTCACCTCCCGCTGCACATAATGGCCCAGTGTCTTCCTGCTTGCTGCCCCTTGGCCTGTCAGTTTCCCTTGATGTCTGTCTACCCACTCCGATAAGGTCTACCTTCCTTCCTCTAAATTCTTCAGTCAAAGCCCTTCTTTCACAGAGTAGCCAGGATTAGACATAGAAATTTAGAGAAGGAAGAAATGATTTGTGGCAAGAGAGATTCAAGAAAAGTTTCATGAAGGAAACAATATTTGATCTGGACTTTGAAAAATAAATCAGATTTAGACATGGAGAAATATTGCATACAGTCTTGGTGGGCAGCACTCATATGGGGAAGCAGGGCAGGACTAGTGGAAATGGAGTAGAGAAGGGCATTCCAGACAAAAGGAAGGACATGTGCAGAGGCTTGGAGGTGGGAATGCATGAAACACACGGGGAATATTGACTACATTATTTTGACTTAAGCATGAAGATATATGCAAATGATTAGTAAAAGTAAAGATTATCAGTATAGGCTGGGATTTTTAATGGCAAGTAAACAGATAAAGAAGACTTTCGTTAGTTGGCAGAAACAGACTTTTATTTGCAAAAATGGGATAACATGATGCAAATACAGGTGCCCACTTTATCACTTATCAGTTTATTTACAATGGCAATGTTTGCAGATTCGAATCTGACCATATAGGCATGTTCTTCTGTAAACCCACAGGTGCTACTCAACTGATCTTTTCTATAATGTGGTTATTTTCTTTGATTGACAGGAACATATTGATATCTACATTCTTAAACCATACCAAAAAGTGCAAAGCAGACAGTATGGACCTGGAATACTCTATTTGTCTTCACATGGATTGTTGCTCCTAACAATAGCTAAATGTGGAATTCTGTGTATCCGAGACGTTTATACTTTGGTAAGCTGTTTTCTTAAAAAAAATATTATGGGTGTATATATTGATCTCATATAGAGAAACATTTTATGTGTATATAAAAATTTGCTTATGTATGCATAAAAACTTTGAAAAGATATTGAAGGTACTAATTACATTGATTGCCACTGGAAATATTAGGTCATGGGAACAGAAAGGAGATTTCACAGAATACTCTTTTATAGTTTTTGAATTTTAAGCCATTTGAACATATTTCCTGTTTAAAAAGTTAAATGAGAAGAGGCACCATGGTTGAGAACCAGTATGACTCAGAAATCCCAGTTTTTGAATTGTTGCCCTATATACCAAATTGGTGATGCATTTTGTTTGAGTTCTAATCAAACTGGCTTAGTTAGCATCCTTCAGAGCATGTTATCTTCCATTCTTCACAGTGCCCATCACCCTCTCTCATTACACCCAGCCACTTCACACATAAATGGAACCTGCCTGAAGCCATCTGAATTCACAATCTCTGCTTGGTGAAGGCCCCTTCCCTCGCTTTATAGACTTCTGCAATCCATTCACTTCTCTGTATCTGATTTCCTATTATAAATTGATGATAATAATCCCTGTCCTTCCATACTATACAAAGATAGTGTAAGAACAAATTAGTATTGGTGAACGTGGTTTGAACTCGGGATTTTAAATGCTATGTATTGCCAATTGGCTACTTCCATACCTATTAAAATGCTGTTAGCAAATAGAAAATCACTTATCCACAAAAAAAGGCATATAACCCCATTAGAAAAGCCATATTGTAGAATCGCATTTGTAATTTTTCTGCTTTATTTCTAAACTATTGAGGAAACATTTGCTCGGTGTCGGAGTCATTCTCACCAGGGTCATGGGATTCAGTCAATGAGAATTTCGATGGATGGACAAAACATTCTGGTGAATGGGAGAGATGATGGCACCCTTGTCTACCTAAAGTGGAAGTACGTATTAGTATACAGCATGTAACCCCATGTTGTATAGTGTTTTAAAATAGAGATTTTATAATTATTTAAGTACAGCAAGGCCAACGTACCAGGAAACAACTGCCGGTGCAAAGAAACTTTGTTATACTCACAGATCCCGAGAGAAGAGGGCACTGCATGCTAGGGGACTACGTGGGGCAGCACGGGGTGGGTCAGGAGGCTGAGAGAGTAAGGAAAACATGGATGAGATCCTCCAGTATGGTTTCCACAGGGAGGATTGGGCAGGTTTAGGATTGGCTAATTTGAATAATATCGGTGGATTCTGAGGCATAGGTGCTGGCTGTAGTTGTCTCATACTTGGCCCTAGGGTGATTAGGGTGGGGAAATGGTGGCCCTGATTGTGAAAGCTCACTAGAGGAGGTGGTTGGGGGTGTGGCCTCTAGATTGGCTGGTTTGCATTTGAAAGGAGTGCTCCAGAGCAAATTGTTTACTATCTTTAAGGACTGGTTAGCCTCCAGAAGTCAGCAAGGCCTGAGATAGCAGGTCATCGAAATACACACACACACAAAAAAGACATAGTTAATATATATCTGAGAATGATCAGTCCTATCTCTCATAACATGAGAAATGAGGACAATTCTGAACCTCAAATAACTTTAAAATCTCCTGTTTATCCCAGACGTATATATGTATGTATACATACACAGACTTTCCTAATTAGATTTTGCTTAGATTATATCAAACAGTTTCAGTCCCCAAACAAGGAAGGGATCAGTTTTAGGGAGAGACTGTTAGCATCCTTTCTTTCAAGTTACAAGTACAAACTAAATTCCTAAATTCCTCCCAGGTTAGGAGGAATGAACAAGAACATCCAGCCTGTGAGACTAGAAATAAGATGGAGTCAGCCATGCTAGACTTCTTTCACTGTCATAATCTTTGCAAAGGCAGTTTCACTCATGCAATTCATTTTGGAAAAAATAGCTTTTCATGGTACCTCCTGTGATCAAAGCAGTAATAAAATATGGCCCTTCTCTGCAACATTGTGAAAATGTTAAATGTTGTGGAGATTTTGTATCATAAATGTTAAATGTTGTGGAGATTTTGGTAGCTACTTATTTCAAAGACTCATTTGAGGATTGCATCATTATTCCCATTTTACACATGGAATTCTGAATAGAATATTAACTTTTATCTTACGATATAAGTCTAGCATATTCTTTATAGCCAGCAAAGAAATACTGTCTTAGGCAACAACAAACAAGTGGTTGATCCTTATTTATGTAGCTCAGAAAGGACATTTTGATCTGGACTTCTGACTCAAAACAAAGCTGGGTTTGAAACAATGGTCTAGGACTTATCACTTTGTGACCTTGGCATATGACAACCCCTCTAAATTATCTATTACAATGTTACTCAAGGTGGGTGGTCTGTAGCATCTGTGAGCTTGTTAGAAATGCGTATTCTTGGATCCCATCTGGACTTTGAGTAAGAATGTCTGCAGGTGGGGCCCAGGAATCTGTTTTCAAACCCTCCCAGTGATGCTGATGCACCTGAAGTTTGCAATGCCCTGGCGAATTGAGTGGAAGTAATAATACCACTCTCAATGCAGGGTGGGATGATGAGGGCCACATGCGATCATGTGATTCTGTGTGTGAAACAGGACACTGCCTGGTGCATTCTGAGAGCTCAGTCAGTGCACTGGCTCTTCTTTGCAGTGGCCAAGGCTGGTACAGAGGGCATGTTGGGTAAGAGTATGAGGACAGTGTGAGGAGAAGGCATCCTAGAGAGGTCAAGAAGCTTGTCATGACCTGGAACCCATGAAAGGTTCTTCTCTAAGGAGCAGAGTCCTTTAGCCGTGCATGGTGGTGTACCCCTGTAGCTGCTTTGGAGGCTGAGGTGGGAGGATCACTTGAGCCCAGAGGTGGCAGTGAGTTGTGATCATGTCACTGTACGCCAGCCTAGGTGATAAAGCAAGACCCTTTCTCTTTAAAAGATAAAATTTAAAAAATAAATAAATATATTCTAAAAAAGAAGTAGGTACTGAAGAAGAAGTTTCCACAAGGCACTGTGGAGAATTGTTCACATATTTCCTTTGTTAGTTATCTAGAAACGGGAATGGTTAGTTACCTGAAAATGATACAGCTAAATGTGATTTTTAAAATTATGATTTTTAAAGCCTATTTGTTTTCTTTTTTATTAATATAGGCGGTTTGGAGGACACCTAGCCAATGACATTCTGGACTATTACCAGAAACTATTAATTTTCCTGAGCAGCACCATGGACAAGGAGAACGATTATTTAAGCAGAACACCAAAAGCTTCCATAGATTTGGCATCCAATTCTGAACACACGGTTGAGTTCCTATGTGGCTAGCCTGCTTGCTTACATTTCTTTCTTTGTAAATCAGATAGAAATTTTCAGTTTGTGGTTTTCTTTAAGCAAATGTTTAGTAATATTTCTCTTTATCCAGGTATCCCATGATTTTTAAAAAGAGAATAAGCTACCTCTGAGAGAAAATATTAAGCCTTTCTCAAAGCAATTGCAAATAGTGCATTTCAGATCTCATTTAAACCATGGTACAAGATCTGGCTTGCCTGGGAAAAAAAATCTTCCACCCACACTGGTGCTTGGTCAAAATGATCTCTCTATACTTTCGTATCACATATATTATTTAGGAAGTGTCTAGCTAGAGAACAGCATTCACTTATTCATTTAACAATATTTATAGAGTGCCTACAGAGTGCTAGGCTGTGGGGGACATAGCCATGAACAAGACAGAAAAATTTGTGCTTCCATGGAGTTTACATCCTAAGTGGGGGTTGGGGTGGGCAGGGAGAGACAGATCAGCAAGCAAATGTGGAAGAAACAGATAGTAACAAGTTCTACTCAGTGCATAAAAATAGGTTGATCTGATAGTGTTGGGATGTGTAGCCTCTCCAAGAAGACATTTAAGCTGAGATCTGAATTAAAAGAGAACAGCACCATGCAAAGGCAATGGGAAGGCAGCAAGAGTATTCAGGGCAGAGGGGGAAAGGGCTTGGCATGTGATATGTTAGGACCTAAAAAACGCCTGTGCAGTCGAAGTGAGCAAGGGAGAAAGTGGTGGGAGGTGAGGTCTTCAAAGTGGGAGGAGACCAGGTAACGAAGGGCTTTGTAAACTAGGTAAAGGGTTTGAATTTTACTTTACTTGTAATCAGAACTGAGTTCTGTTCTGAACAGAGGATTAACAAGGTATAACTGACATTATTGAAATGATTATTTGATGCTGTGAGGAGAATATTTCCTGTGGGGGATAAGAGGGATAAGAAGCAGGGACATTGCTCAGGAGGCTAAGGCAGAGAAGTTCAGGTAGCAGTGATGGAGGTAGAGAAGTCTTGTGCAAAGGAGAGAAGTGGTGGATTCCAGGTAGTTTTCAGAGGTAGGGTTGATAGAACTCACTGATGAATTGGACATAGAGAGAGAGGAAAAGAAAGGGCCCAAGATCTCCTAGATTGTTTTATGTGAACAATTATATAGAAGATGGTGTCATACATGGAGATGGGACAGACTGTGGAGGAAAGGGGTAGCTATGAAGAGAAAGAAGGGAATTTGAAATCAGTTTTACTCATGCTAAACTTGAGAAGCCTGTTAGCCATCCAAGAGGAGATGCCAGTTCAGCGGTTGGATGGATGAACCTTACGTTCTGGGAAGAGGTCGGGACTGAATATGTTTATATGAGTCAAGGGCATGTGGATGGGATTTAAAGCCATAACACTAGGTAAGGTCATCATGAAAGCATAAACGGCAAGAAGCAGAAGAGGACCAGGACAGAGCAACTTCTGAAGAGCCAGGAAAAGAGTTCAGAGATGCAGTGGAGCCTGAGGAGGAGCAGCCAGTGAGGTTACAGGAGAACCAGGAGAATGTGGCATCCCAAACTCTTTAAAGACATTCTGGTGCAAAGTGGAGCATAGAAATAGGGTGGTGGCCAAAGAGAAACGTGATAGTCAAGTAAGAGTAGTTTTCCTAAGACAGGAGATAGTAGAGCATGTTTGGATGCTGTTGGGAAAGATCCAATACAAGGGAGAAATTGATGATACAGAAGGAGATGGTATTGAAGAAAAAATTTTAAGTATTAAAACTTCAAAAAGAAGGAAAAAGATTCTAAGCACAGATAGTGGCACAGGCCTTGATGGGCAGGAGCATTTGGGTCACAGTAGCAAAGAAGGCAAAGAGTGGTGATGGTGTGACTGGTCTCATCATCTCTGCTTCCTCAGTGGAAGCTGTGGTTAATATAAAAGCAGACTGGTAGGACTTATGTGAATAAAATGTTACATCTTGAGGAGACAAAATGTTTGAGATTATTTTCAAAAATGCAACAAATCGAAAGGAATTCAAAGCCGTTACATGTGGTAGGGTGGGAGGGGACAAACTTGATGAATTTTGACTTTAAGACATTTCTGTCTTTTTCTAACATGAATCAGAAACGGAAGGCAAGCACTGACTCATCACAAGATGAATTAGTTTTAACTGATGTTAAGAAGGAAATTCCTTGGATACAACAAAAAAGCCAAGAGGTATTTGTGAAACATGGGGTGTGTTTGAAATAGTGCTCTGTAGATGCACCAAATAGATTAGCTTCCTGTGGAAACCTACTGGAAGTTAGAAGATGGAACAAGATACTACTTGGCAGAGCAGTACAGCATACAGGTGTAACTTTTCTGAAAGCAAGTAAACACCCTAAACACAGCCCAATCATTTAGATCAAGTCATATGAGCTTTAAGAACTATACGTAGGCTGACTTGCAACCCAATAATGGTGTCCAGGTAAACCACAGCAAAGGATGAACTGCCATACTCTACTGTGGAGTGAGTTTTAGGGCATGCTTGTCTTCCTCTGTCCTGTGGACCAGGAACAAGGGAAGGGACGCAGTGGCCATAGCTGTTCAGGAAGGTGACCGACAGTACAGCTTGTGTCTGGATTTAGCCTATTGATCTAGTCTCAAGTTCCCAATAAAAGTGCATACTGATTTTTCTTAGTCAACTATTCACTAATTTTTCACTACTTAATTATTTTCTTTCCGTTGGCCATATAATTGACATCAGTTTCATGTTGTTTTAATGTCACTTACCTGGTAGCAGTTAGATTTAAGCAAGGTATTGCAGTGGTATTACTTCATGTACACTTTTTATTTAGTCTTTACAAATTTTAGTTTCTGTTTCTAGAGAATTGCTATCTCTGTCTCTCTCTTTCTCTCTCTCTCTCTCTCTCTCTGTTGTTTCTCTTGCTTTGTTCAGTGATACGCTTGTTCTGTTTCAGGCCATCAAAAAAGAGGTTAATCTGTTTTCCAAGAAAAGGAAAGAGATAAAAAAAGGAATCAAAGCACTTTCCAAAACTGTAAGTGTTATAATTTCATATTCTAATACATTTGGCCCTTGTTCTAAAATTACTTTTTGAACTTAATTTTATTCTATGCTGAGGAACTGTACCTCCTTTTGTCTAGTTATAAGCTTAGTTTTCTGAGGTACTTTAACAAGATAGAAGTTTCACCAATTCACACTCCATATAAACAGTGGTTTTCCCTGTCTTCCCCCAAATTACCATCTTATTTGTTTTTATAATATATCAATGTTATGCATTTATATTTTTACAGATTAAATAATACTGAGTTGTGTAGTTAAAAATAATATTTTTAAAGCAACAATTGCCCTATTTCTCTTGACTGATTCCTGCACTCCTAAGGTAACTGTTTTCACTTCTTTCCACTTTTTCGTTTGGACTGTTTACCTCTGTCTGTCTAATTAGTCTTAATACTGCTGTTATTTCTTGATATTTCTGTTTTGTTGCTAACTATGGGCTTCCTGGTATGGAACATGAGTAGTTTTGTGTGTTACTTCTTCCCACACCCACTATAGCACACATGCTTGGTATACACACTGTGATATTTATATGAATATTCTTCAAAGCTGAGCTACATGGTATATTATGATTACATTTCTGCTTTTACAACTTGATTTTTCTTGGAATTAATAATTGCCTTTGTTTTGGAGTAAGCCTTTCTATGACCTATTCAAACTCAAAATGCTAAAAAATTATTCTCAATACAACCAAATACCTGAAGTGATCAATCTGTCAGTGCTTTTTTTTTTTTTTTGGCAACCTCCCTTCTGGAGCTTTCCATCTTCCAGCTCCAGTCAAAGCACCTTGCTCTGCTCTATAGACCAGGTGTATGGTTGCTGTCCTAAAGATCTGCCTCCTGAGTTGGAGCTCCTATTTCCTGAGTCCCTTGTGATTTTTTTTTTTTTGTTTTCTTGGTATGTATCCTTCAGTAACTTCCTATACAGGACTGCTGGGTTGCACCATGCTTGGGAACATCTTTATAACATAGCTGTGCTTCTGGGGTGCCATCTAAGTGGAATCCACTGTGAATGGTGCCTTGCTGCTAGAGCTGTCAGATGCTTTGGCTCTGTTCTTGAGAAAGGGTACATGGGAGGTACATTTTCTGAGATGTGTTTTCTCTTAAAATGTGTTTATCCTACACTCATATCCATTTGAGAGTTTGCCTTCAGAATGTTGAAGTCTTGCTCCATTGTCTCCTGGCTTCCAGTGTTTGCTTTAGAGAATCCAATGCCTAACTCCCAGGAGACTTATAGGATCCTCTCTTTATCCACAGCGTTTGGAAATTTACAATTATGCACCTTGATATGTTTGATGAGTATTCTTGGTTTGCTGGTGCAAACCAAGATTCTCTTTCCTTTTCCACCCTTCTCTGAGCCCCAAGAGGCTGGCCTTTGTGGACAGTAGCAATGTACTCTCTTGCCTTCTGGCTTCTACTTGGGTTTAGGCAATAAGTGGCATCAGCAAAAGAGCCCCCATTGTTGCTGTTCATGAAGGCCAGCTTCTTGGGGCTCAGAGTATGGTTTGTAGGGACTAAGACCAGGGTCTTCATTCTCCCAGTTTCCTCCCTGTAGGGTTATTTGTTGGCAATGACTGCCATCCCTCTCCTGCATTTATGGTTCTCTCCAGGTTCATTAACCAGTCCCAGCTCTTGCCCTTCAGACCTAGGAGCAGAGATGGCTTGCCGCAGTTCGTAGCCTAATGCTTTATCATGTCTTGCTGGCTTTCTTTACTCTGCCAAATCTCTTTTTAAAGTTTCGCTCTTCAGTTTTCCCATTTGAACGTGTTACCTGTTTCCTACCAGGACCCTAGGTGTTTTCTTCTTTCATGTGCTAGACTTCGATGGGCATTTTAATAGGAAACCTTTGTCTCTCAGTTTTAGAAAATGTTCTTAAATCATTTCCTTGGTCCTTTGTTTTTATTTTCCTGATTAATAGTAAGGTTGAGCACCTTTTCATAAGTCTAAACTCTATTTTATTTCCTCTCCTGTGAATTTCCTGCTTATATTCTTTGCCTATTTCCTTATTGGGTAATTGGTCATTTTCTTGTTGATTATAGCAGTTCATTATTTTTATATTTTTATTTATATGTATCTAAGATAATTAGAGTTAGCTAGCCTGTGGTAACAAATAAACTCAAAAAAACATAATGGCACAGTGATGAGACGTTTATTCCTTCCCATGTAACCATCCTGGGTGGGTATTCAGCTCAGCAGCTGCTCTGTTCTACGCAGTCATTCAGAGACCCAGGCTATTGGAGACCCTGCTGTCTTTAACTCATGGCTTCTAAGGTTGCCTTGCTTGATCTCATCTGAATCAGCTGGAAAGAAAAATAGCATAAAGGTGTGCATGGGACATATCTAAAGGTAGTCCTTATTATTAGGTGGAATTGCATGCAATTGGTGTTTTATGTGGCTCCACCTACAAATATTTTCTAGAAAAGTATATGGCTCATCCTACTACAAATACTTTCTGTCTTGTCTTTTAACTTTTATAATGTGCTAAATTTTAAATAATTTTATTATAAAGCAGAATTTTAAAATTATGGCATGAACCAAGTTATTGATTTTTATTGATTTTTTTTTGGGGGGTTTTACATCTGATTTTAAATGGCCTTTGAAAGTCTCATGTATTTTCTTTTAATACTCTTTGACTTCACCTTTAATTTATTTTTTTGAATAGTATGACATATGGTTCCAATTTTGTTTTTTCAAATAAATAGCCCATTTCCCTGGTCCACTTTATTTAATATACTATCCTTTCTCTGCTGATTTGCAGTGTCTCCTCTGTCAATCCCTGGATATAGGATTGTTTCTGGACTCTTTGTTCTAAGATTGAGTATTGATCTTTTCTTGAGCCAATATCAAGCTATTTTAATTACTATTGCTTTATAACAGTTCTTCTATCCTGAGAATAATTCTCCTTTTGCCTTTCTTTTTTTTTTTTTAAATGGCCTTTTTATGTTTGCTTACTTTTCCATTGGAATTTTAAAATAAGCTTGTTAAACTCCATGAAAAACTCTGAGAATATATTGCTTGTAGTTTGATTTGGAGAAGAATTTATCTGCCAGCTCTGAACCTTAGTATATATAATATATCAATATATATGATAAAACTTTACTGAAGAATATTTTTTAATTTGAAATAAGGTGTATACAGACAGTCCCCTACTCACAGTGGTTCAACGTATAATTTTTCAACCTTATGATGGTGCAAAAGCAATGCACATTCAGTAGAAACTATGATTTAAATTTTGAATTTTGGTCTTTTCCCAGAGTAGCAATATGTGATACAATACTCTCTCACAATGTTGGGCAGTGTCAGTAAGCCACAGCTCCCAGTCAGCCATGCGATCACGAAGGTAAACAATGAAAACTCTGAATACTATGTTGCCAACATTTTTTGGATATCCTGTTTTATGTTTTTGCATCCCATCTTGTCTACAAATGCCCCTTTTGACATGATATTTTCATCTTATGATGGGTTTGTTGAGACATAACCCCATCATAAGTTGAGGAGCATCTGAATATTTATATATTTATATCTTTATTTATTTAGAGACAGGACTTGCTTAGTAACTCAGGCAGGAGTGCAATGGCATGATTGTAGTTCATTGCAGCCTTGAACTCCTGGGTTCAAGCAATCCTCCTACCTACCTCAGCCTTCCAAGTAGCTAGGACTGCAGGCATGCACCACCATGCCCAACTAATTTTTCTATTTTTTTGAAGAGACAGGGTCTCTCTATTTTGCCCAGGCTGATCTTGAATTCCTAGCCTTCTGCCTTGGCCTCCCAAACTGCTGGGATTATAGGCATGAGCCACTGCACCAGGCCTGTATATTTATTTCTTTTATAATATATACCTTTTCAAGTTATATTTTCATTAAATATATAATACTTATATATGTAAATTATATATTTATATATCTTTATTCAATTTTTATAAGAATCGTCAGTGAAAATTTATAGTTTCTCTAAAAGTGACATCGTGTAAATTTCTTATTAGGTTTATTTTAGGTATCTTATAGTTTATACTGTTTTTGTGAATGGAATATTTTTCTATTACATTGGTGATATGGTTTGGCTGTGTCCCCACCCAAATCTCATATTGAATTGTAGCTCCCATAATTCCCATGTGTTGTGTGAGGGACCTGGTGGGAGATAATTGAATCATGGGTTGGGTCTTTCACATGCTATTCTCATGATAGTAAATAAGTCTCAGGAGATCTGATGGTTTTAAAAAGGGGAGTTTCTTTGCACAAGCTCTCTTCTCTTGTCTGCTGCCATGTGAGATGTGCCTTTCTTTTCACCTTCTGCCATGATTGTGAGGCTTCCCCAGCCATGTGGAACTCTAAGTCCGTTAAACCTCTTTGTTTTGTAAATTGCCCAGTCTCAGATATGTCTTTATTAGTGGCATGAAAATAGACTAATACAATTGGTATATGTTACATATTAATATATATATTACTGGTATATAGAATGTTATTGATTTTTTTTTCTGACCACCTTGTTGAATTCTTCTTAGTTCTATTTTTTCACTTGATTATTTTAGATTATCTAGGTAGACTATCATATCTTTTGCAAATAACATATTTCTCTATTATCAGTCTTTCTACTTCATTTTCTTTTCTTGTCTTGTGATCCTTTTTTATGAAATACAGTATTGTGCATCCCTAGTTACTGTAAAATTATACTCTTCTTGCTTAATTAACATTTACTTTTGGGCAACAAGTCTTCTATTTGTTGAATTTATTGTCTCTGTTCACTGGTCTTGTTGTTCCCCAGATATTTAGGGATTTATTGTTATTATTTCATGCTTGTCTTTATAATTGAAACTCCCTGTTATAATTCCATGATACCTGCTCAGTCTGCGTCAGAAGTAGTATAGGAGATCTGACTTTAGCAGATATGCTGTCTGTTCTCAGTAAAAAGAGAAGGGTTAGGTGGTGTTGGGAAGTGTCTTGGCAGCCCATTGTGTGGAGGGGGGTGTTCTCCATTCTTTCTAGCCACTAACAGATTCCTTGGGCCTTGCCCTGGTTTTCCAATCTAAATATTCATTCCAGTTGCTTCTACCTGGAGACAAACACTCCAGTTACTACTGCTGGGCCCTAGGGAACTTTACCAGGTAGGGGTACAGACAGGTTCTACTGTCTGTTTCTGGTCCAGTACCCCCAGCTAACCAACCTGCCAGTACTCTTAGGCAAACCCTTGTTCCTGTATCTGGTTCCTGTAGCTTCTATCTCTTGTTGAGTGCTGTCCTGAGGGCATTCGGGCCTGTGATGCATCTTCCTGATCCGTCTGATTTCCATCGTTCAGTTGTTATAGTTTTCGTGGTCCTGAAGGATTCTATTTCTTTTTTCCTCTTCATTGTAGTAACAGATTTATCTATTCTATACTTCTTTTCCCTTAACTTTATGTTTTGGGACAAAAGTGAAAAATAGTTAAACTAATTCTCAGTCTATCAGTTTGAAACTGAAGTCCCATTTTTTCTATCACGTTGTCTGCCTTATTTTTGATTTGTAAGTGCTTTTCATATATTAAAGACATTAATATTTTGTCATATGTGTTGCAGTGTATCCTTTGCCCCTGAATTTTTTGACATTATGAACTTTTAAAGATAATTTTTATTGTACAGAAGTTTAAATTCATACAAAATTGGAGGTAATCGTAACATAATACATCCAATGGCCAATACCATTTCACCGATGCTTCCATCCATTACCACCCCGATTATTTTGAAGTAAATCCCAGACATCATATCATTTCATCTTTAATTACTTCAGTATGTATCTTTAAGTGATACTCTTAAAACACATAACCATTATGCTGTTAGTATACCTCAAACTAACAACAGTGCTTTAATATCATTGAATGAAATGATGAGCTTATGTATTTTTGTAATTTTTCCTATTAGATGAATGAGTTTTTAAGGATGAACCTTAAAACTTCAATAACCATAATAAGCCTATAATCTAATTCTTTACTTACTAGTACATTTAGGTAAGTAGAACATGTATTTTTATCAATTGTTGCCTAAAATAAACTAAGAAAAGTATCTTGTTACAGTTTAATTCTTTGTCAACACCCTTTTTTATTTCAACGTTTAGATTCTGAATATGATGGAAGAAAATGACAAACTAGAAAATATTGCAAAATTAGACCAACAGGAATTTGGCCTAGATCTTGAGGCACTGGAAAGGCTTCATGAGGAAAGTCAGGAAGAAGTGGCAAAGGTATAAAAAAGTATAATTTAAGCACCATAAAGCTATGATGAAAGAAGTAAAAAGATAATAGAAAAGGGAACTCTTTTATAATAATGTGAATATGACAAAACCTTTTCCAGTATAATGTGAATAAAGCAAACGTAGTGCATATGAGTGTAATGAGTCAGAGGACCTTTGAATTTGTGGGTTAGAAGCAGGAAGAACATCTAGGCTAGCCAGACATCTGATGTTTGCTTCCCCTTCATGGCATTCCTGCCAACCATATGTTTGAACATTTTTGGAAGTCATCTCTGCCACCTCATTGCCTACTTTGGACACTTCTGGCTTAGTAAGCCCTTTCTTAATTAGAGTTGAAATCTTTCTTTTTGTACTCACTGATCCTTCTACTCTGTGAGCACTTCCTACTCTATGGCCCCTCTGAGAGTGGTAGAGTATTAGCAATTTCCTTGTTCCCTGTGGATCTTCTTCTGTCTGGGCTAATTATCCCAGCTCCTTTGACCATCATATATCATGGTTTCAATAGCCTCATCATCATCATGCTGTTTTCCTCTGGATTAATTATATTTGCATATGGTATCCACAGAAAAATTCCAATTATTTTATATCCAGTTTAGAGAAAAGTATAAACTGAAACCTCCATTCATACTATACTTCTATTAATTTAACCTTTGTATTATTTTGTGACAGACACATCAGATCGTTTGCTTATACGGATTTTATTTTAAATAAAAGCCCTAAGCATGTTTTACACAGGCTATTCTGAAGCTACCTCTTTCTCAACCTGCTAGTACAGTTTAATTTTTTAAATGTGCAAATATAAAAACACAGGAGAATGAAAGAGCTGAATTCAAGGACGGCTGTGGTGGATTATAATAGGTTAAACAACTACACCAAGAAAAGGCTGATTATTTGACTGATGTCTCTAGGAGGGAGGTTTCTACCATGTGCCCCAGGACTTGGTCCTGATAAAAATGTTTATTAATGACTTGGGTGAAGATATAGAAATAAGGAGGATTTGTCAAATTAGTGAATGACATGAGACTGAGAAGATGAGGAAATGTAGTGGATAACATAATTTGAACAAGAGTATCTCAACAGACTGACTTAGTACAATAAAATTTACCTGGGATAATCATTCATTCTGCAACATTTATTAATGTGCTGGGCAGATTAATCTAGATGCTGGGAATACAATAAAGAAGACAGACACATTTCTGCTGTCATGAGACTAATGTAGTGAGGAAGAGTGTCCATAAACAAGTCTCTACATAGTATATGATGGAAACAAACTGGATGCTGTGATAGATGTGGGAGATCTACTTTTGTGGTCAAAGAAAACCACTTCAAGGGGCTGACATTTCAGTTGAGAACTAAAGGAAGAGAGAGAGCTGGCTGTGCAAAGATCTGGGGGAAGAGAATGTCAAGCACTGGGAACAGCAAGAGCAAAGGCCCACAGGCAGAAATGGCTTGAAGTATTCCAGGAACAGCATGGCCAGAAAGGCAGAAGCATGGCGGATAGGAGAGAGCCTCGTGGAATGAGGTGGAGGAGATAGGCAGAGGCTAGTCCCTGAAGACCTTGTATGTTGTGGTAAAGACTGGCTTTTTTATTCAATGTGTAACAGGAAGCTATGGAAAAAAATCCCATTTTCTTATCACAACAAGTAGGCACCAATGTAGGAGCTTTTTGAATGTTATTTATTTTGATGATTACAATCCAAAAAGGCAGGTGATAGTTTGCCCCACTTGAAAAAAACTGAGGTTTTGATAGAGGCTTAGAGAGCTAGAGTCACATGGCTAAGATCAGAGCCAGGGAGATCCTGGCTGCTGCCACCAGGCCACAGGCTCTTCCTCCTTGGCTCTGACTTGGCTCAGGCTCAGAATGCCCCCTGGTATTCTGCATCATGTTCTCCCAGCCCACTCATCTTGACCACTCAGCAATGCATGTGGATTTGGTGCCTGCCTCCTTCCTCACCGTTGTTTCTCTCTCCAAGCTGTATACGACTACTTGACACTGAACCTGCTCCCCTGGCCCACTGAGCTATTTACCATTGCCAAACCCATCCTATTCGCTCCACCACCACCCTGTGCCCCTGCCCCAAATGCCCCTCCTTGCCATTTACCAAATTCATCCTCATCCCTCAAGAGTTCTCCTTGATCCTCTGAGGCAGGATTTGGTGCAGGGAAAGGCCCTCTACATGCTAGTTTCCCTCATATTGTTTATTTTTTTTCTTGAGCTCTGTGCCTTTGAAGAGATGTTAACACCAGATTGGGTACAATAGTGGTCCAGTAGAGAACAATGTTAGCAGATGACACCATAAACTCAGCTGTTTAGGAGATTTCAGCATGTTTAGGAGCAGAATACTAGTCCTTGGGAGGAGTTAGTGGCACCTGCCAGTCAGGGATGTGAATGAGAGACTAGGCTACTACCCTGCCCTGGCCAGGATCTCAACAATAGGAAAAAAACCAAAGCCCAATCATGACAACTCGGACACAGTACTAGGGATTGAGTTTGGAAGAGTTGATCGAACAGCCTCAGCAGTGGACAGAGAAGGGCTGAGTAGGCTTGGAATCAGGCAGTTTCTGACAACTGATACGCCAAGCCAGCTATCTATTTAGGAAGAAATAATTTAAAACTGTTTTAGCTATTAACTCGCTGGATCAGAATAAAAAAGAAATGAATTGCAAATTAAAGTCATGTAATTAGACAGTAAATAAACAGAAATTCACAAGAAGTACTAAAAAAGACATTTTAAACCTGGGAGACTTTATTCTTAGCTAGTTTGCTAATAATTCTGCCAACAAAATGAAGTGCACAAAGGTCCTGAAGAGGATCCTAAGGACTAAAGATTGTTAGGTCTCACTTTCACACCAGGCCTTTCAGCAAACTCTATTAAAATAGGAATACTTAATTATTTAAGTAATAAGCAATGGGATTACTTAAGCAAGTAAAACTAACTGAAGTAACATATGTTTTAGGTGCAAAAAAATGCAAATTGTATGATCTCCAAGAGTAGTAGAGGGTTCTTTTTATTGTGGACATAAATAATAGAAGAATTAAGTACAGTAAAGACTCCCAGACAGAGGTCACAAACTGGCAATTTAAATGTGTGTTGGTGAGATTTAAGCCAACATTTAGATATCCAGCAGTTTCACATAAAAATATGAATTCCAATCCTCTCTAATAAAACAGGAAGACTTCGCTCAGTGGTTTTGCTTCCCTGCTGTTCCAACCAGCGGAGTTTGTACACATTAGCCATGCAGCTCACCACCACAGTGCATCCATCCTCACACCCGACTTCACTCATGTGTGGGACCTGACCAACCTTAGAGGTACTGTATGTCCTCAAGGAAGGGAAATTAAGCCTACAGACAAACTTCAGGAGACATTCTCAAAAGCAGAGATGTGTTTCCCAGAAGTACATCTCAGTGCAGGGTGGCTCAAAGTGTTGGAGAAAGACAACCAAACTCTACCACTGAAGGTGCAGCTTATGAATACTTGGTGAACTTAGAGGAAAGATTATTGTTTCTGAGGCCACACTTTCATTTTTGTCTTTTCCCTTTATCTGCGTTCTTCAAGATGAAAAAGGATGTAGAGATGCATAACCTAGCCAAGAGCTATTTGGCTGAACTTATCAAAGAAGAGTGTTGGAATTCAATGGCTGTAAAAGGTCGAGCTCTTAAGGTAACAGAACCCTAGGTACAAAACCTGATGAGATTTGTCATAGAAAGCTCAGGAAAGCTTTACAAATAAATTTAAGAAAATTCATAGCTTAGCAAAGCACTGAGAACATGGCTTGCCCCTTCCTATACTGAATTTCACCTGGATGTGTCCCGGTCTCTTGGTTTCTTCGCTCTATGCTCAGTCCCCATGTGCTTCCCAGCCAGCATTTCTGAAGATCTGTCTTAGCATTTCTTTCCTCCTTTCCTCTCAGACATCCCCGGCATCTGGGTCTTACTAGCTGTCTGCTCACTCACATTTCATACATATTGAAAGGTAGACAAAATCTGGTTCATGTTTCTATCTGTGCCTGCCCTCCTATTTTCTAAGGAGCTGTTTTTCGCTGAGATTCTCCCCAGTACAATTTCTCTCTTTGTACAGGATGACCAAAAGTCTCAGGTAATGTCTGTGATCCCAGAATAACTATTCTCAGCACCCTTTTCACTTTCAAATATGCTCCCAGTACAGACAATGAAGTATACAGCCACCCTACATTTTATGTAATTGAGTATTGCTCTAAAACAGCGTTCTCATGAGTCATATATTTTGGGCTGGATCATTCCTTGTTGTGGGAGCTGTTCTATGCACTGTAAGAAGTTTAGCAACATTCCTAGCCTTTATCTGGAGACAATAGCATTGTTCACCTCCAGTAATGACAATAAAAAAATGTTGCTGGACATTGCCAAATGTCTTGGGGAAAAATGACAGAGAGGGAAGGAAGGGGAAAAAATGCTCCTAGTTGAGAACTACTGACCTAGAAATTAATCCTTCACAAAAGCCCAGTATTTTATATAAAGCTTATACCAATACTTATGGAATATATTGTTTTATTTTTTTTAATGTTTCCATTGCCAATTTTACTCATGCATGATAACCTATGGGTTAATGTTAATCACAGAAAACATCCCTTGCTCAACACCAGATACACACAGTTATACTACAAATGGATTTATTTCATCTTGTGTTTTTTTTCTCCAAGTGTTTTCATATCCCCTGTGTGGTTGAAAACTTCCCAATGAAAGCACGCACAGCTGAAGAGCTGAAAGAATTGGAAAGAGTTTTACAGCAAAAGAAGATTGAAGCAGAGTGTCTAAAAGTACAATTTTAAATATATATGTATTTATATAAGTGATATGCTTTATTTTAGAGTCTCCTTTGTTCAGATTTGAATTGGGATATAATTTAAGTTTAGATATTGTATGTATTTATATTTTTATTTCTTGTTAATTATAGAATATATTCTAATGAATATAGAAGCCTATATCCCCAAAATAAATCAAAGAGCCTGTATCCTACACAATACTGGCTAGCCCTCAAATATAAGGATATACCTTTAAAAAATTAGATTTGGGGTTTTGCTCTTATCCGCACAGAGGTTGTCTTCATGCACAATTATCCTTTTTATCCTCTCTTGTCACTAGGGATTGTGTTTCAAGATAATTGATCAAGAATGAAGTAGAATTTGTTTTGACAGAATTATGGTTTTCCTAAATCCCAACTTTTTAAGCAATAATCTCTGCCAAACCACTAAAAAAACACTGCCCTTCAGTGTAGTTTTGTTTTGGCTAGAACTTTGCACTGACTCTTTTTCTGAAACAAAATGGAGGTATGCTTAATTCTTCTTAACCTTCACCCACCAGTCCTTTGTGAACAAGTTTCTTTGTAAAATATAAAGAGAAGATATATTTCTTAAGTACCAAGAAAGACTCAAAATAGTTACAAGCAGGTGTCATACTGACAGAAAGATATAAATATTACACATCATCAAGGACAATTTTTATTCCTTTGATTTATCCATCGTTTATCAGTTTCTGAAGCTTTAATCTCTTCTGCAGCAGTTCTGGGATCTATTCATCACTTTGAATTCAGTTCTTGGCAAGACAATTTAGCAAATTAAAATGATTGTTGACATAATTAAGTTGTCACAAACTTTCCCTTTAGAGGATTCTTATTATTGCATAACTTCTGTGTCATCTTTTTTTACATTTAGCTACGGAAGGAGATTGTAGAGGCTCAGTCTGGAGTTACATTGGTTAAAAAGCATCATGAAGAGGATGATGAAGAAGAGGAAGAGGAAGACAAGAAAGCAGAATATAGCAACTTGCCCAATTACCTGCTTGGTAGTCTGAGTACTGATTTTGGGGTAGACACCTCTTTTTTGTCAAGCCAATTAGAACTTCATTCCAGAGAAGAGAAAATCAACCAAATTATATTACTGAAAGTGAGTGAATTTTCATTTTATTCTCAAAAATCTCTAGAAACTCTACATCAGGTGGTTTTCAAGGGCTCACATTGAAAACTAATGCCAATCAAATGATTTAAAAATACATTGAGGAGGGGGGCATGGTGGTTCATGCATGTAATCCCAATACTTTGGGAGGCCAAGGCAGGCAGATCATGAAGTCAAGAGACCAAGACCATCCAGCTAACATGATGAAACCCCATCTCTACTAAAAATACAAAACTTAGCTAGGCGTGGCAGGGCGTGACAGCGCGTGCCTGTAGTCCTAGGTACTCAGAGGCTGAGCCAGGAAAATCTCTTGAACCAGGGAGTTGGAGATGGTGCAAAAGCACTCCCACCTGGCAACAGAGTGAGACTCCATCTCAATAAATAAATAAGAATAAAATAAATAGAGGAATATACAGATACTTTCCAAGTCCCTTAGCCAGATCTTGTGTACAAGAGTTGCATTTAATGATTTGGACTAGGTTACTGTGATACCAAGTTTTCTAAAGAACATCCCACAACAGCTGACACCACAAACCATTCTTCTGCTTTGATCTTCAGTAAGCTGAAAGAGAAAAGAAAATACTTGAATTCCATTTTCTCAGTAAACCCAAATGTCAATTAGGATCTCCTTGTAAGATCAAGATGTGATTACTTATCTATCTGCTTAACCTGGGGAAAGACAGTTTCCTCTAAGATTTCTGTAAATTTGGGGGTTCAAGGATAAGATATGGGGTCCCTCTGGCTCTAAGCTCCTACTCCTTAACTTTCTACCAGTCTCAGAATACTTCTGAACATGTAGAAGCCCTGACTGAAGGTCTTTGAAAATCCAATGACTGAGATTGTGCCAATGAAGATAGTTTGAAATTTAATGCTGGCAATCCCTGTTCCTGAAAGCCCTTCAGCCATGTCTGCAATTTGAATTCCAGTCTCCTGCCATGTGCTCAGCTCTCTCTTCTTATCCTTTTCTTTTTCTCCTCTTGCCCCTGAAATTTCTGTTCATTTATGCTCAGAGCTATTTAGTTACCTCATTTGTTGCTCAGCTTCTGCCTTGAGGGCCTCACCTTCTTGGTGCTTTATTAAGGTGTTTTCCTACAAGAAGGTAATTTCAGCCCAGGAGAAATTCTCATACAAGCTGTTAAGATCATTTTTTCACCCTGCTTTAATGGTTTCATCTTCAGTAGGCTAGACATACAGACTAAACTCCCATGGCAACCTAAAGGCCACTTTGGGTTGACCCATTAGCAGGAGTGGGAGCAATCTAGTTGGTCCCACTGGCACCTTAGGAATTGGTCTCACCAACTGGCTAGCACACGTTTCTTTCCTACTTGAGAATGACATGTCCATATAGAGGAAGAGTATTGTGTGTGGTGATGATTCTCTGGCAGGTTCTGTAAATACTTTCCATAAGCCATCTATTCTTTTCCACATCTACTCCAATCCAGGTTCCAAAGAAAAGACATGTACCAACTTAAATCCTGTATGTTGCTTTTTCGATATTTTATAGTAGATTTTGTACAAAAGTAGAGAGAATAGCCCAATGAGCTTCTAAGTACCCATCACCCACTTCAGCATTTGTTAACCTGCACATGGAATTACAATTTATATTTCAGGAAGTAGATTATGGTCTAACAATTATGTGTTCGTCTTAATGCTACCCATACTTGGATGCCACTGTGGATTATTGAGCCAAGGAATTAATATAAGTAGTGTTCTGAAAGATTCATTTTACATTCTTAAAAGACAATTCGTGGAATGATTTTGGAGGGAAAGTATAATTGCGGGATCAGTGAAGATATAATATGTGATGTGTTTTCAGTAACATGTTAATATTTCAGGATATCATTTACAAGGTAAAAACTGCTTTCAATAATGAGTTTGATGCTGCATATAAACAAAAAGAGTTTGAAATTGCACGTGTGAAGGAAAGAAATGTTCGAATTCGAGAAATTATTTTAGATCTGGAATTGGAAGAAGCAGTCTGGCAACCAGAATTTGAAGACTGTGAGAAGCCAGAGAGAACGCTTGTTGTGCAAGATGAGGAGGTACTGGCTAGCTGTGTTCTCCTTTCCCTTCTTTGTCAGGAGATTTTTCCCAGATCCTATTTGTTCACTTTGCCTCTATGGGAAATGATTGTATTGGGTAGCATTCTCAGTTGCAGATAACAGAAACAGGCGATATAGCCTCAGCAATAATGAGAATTTATTTTACGAATCCCATGGAGTCCAGGGAAGATTTGGACACTGAGCCCAGGAAGAAGCAGAAACCAAAGACTAGAGCCTTGTGGGAGGTCCAGAAGCCCTCTTTCTTCATTTTTTAGTTCACATTACTCTGCATTTCTACTTCCTCTAGCAATTTCTACTTTGTCTCTTCTCCACACAAGAAAGCAGCTGGTCTGAATTAGATTCTTAGTCCCAATTCCCAGTGCATTTGGGAAGGGGCTCCGTGGCCCAGTTTGGGTCCAGTGCCTATACTCAGAGTGGTTGGGTCACATTGCAGGAATGAGGCCAGTGGAGCTCCAGTAATGATCTAGGTCATTTGGGCAGTGTGGATCCCAGAGAAAGGGGCTCTCTAAACAGCCTTCTTTAAAGGTTTTGGCATAGATCCAGTTGAAAATAAATGCCTAAAGAAAACAATTATGACAATATTTTATTTTTTAAAAGTAAAAAAAAAAATGCTAGCGAATACCCAAAGAAAAACCTTTTCTCACATAAAACCAACTTGACTCCTGGGGGCAAAAGATAATTGTGGTGTTTAGAAGTAATAGCAAATATTTTTACAGTCTCTGCTGGATGCTGGCTGGGCACCATTCTAGATGCCCTAGGTGGATGGAAACGAATTTATCATTGTAAGTCCTTATAAGGTAGGTACTGATAACTGCTTCCATTTTATAGATGAGGAGAGTGAGACACAGAGAGTTTGAGTAGTTTGACCACAGTTATATCATTGTTGGGAGTTTGGACCCAAACCATCATACTAGAGTTCATCCTCTTAGCCTGGACACTCTGCTGTACTTGTTTAAGCAAGTTGTTTTTCCTGAACCAGACTTTCACTATGTGACCTAAAACTCTGAAGCAAGATGACAGCAAGGACCTCATTCTGCTGCTCTCTATAGGGCCCTGCTTGGGGCAGTCACTTTGTACCTGCTTCTCCTTGGGCTCTAATCCATCCTACATTTAGGAGAGTGATCTCGCCACAAGCCAAACTTACTATGTCCCTCTTCTGTCTCACCCCTTGCAGTGGTTGCTCACTTCATTTAGGATAAAGCCCACAAGCCTCCTCCTAACTGCCCACCCCTACCCCCTTTCTTGCCCAACGACTCTCCCATCTGGCTCCATTCTGGTCACAATTTTATTCTCACAGTCCCTTGAATGCCCCAAGCTCTTGACCTCTTTGGACCCCTATCCTTCAGAATTTGGCTTAGATGGCCCTTCTTTGAGCCCTCTTCCCTCCCCTCCTTAATCTATCAGGTCCCCTGTTATAATCCTTTTAGTGGTGGACACATACTTTGAGAGTTAATACAGAAGTAAAGATCTCTTTTTCCAGCCCTCTCATTTTAGACCTCATCTTCATTCCAAAATAGAAAATGGGGTGCAAAGTCTGCAGAACCCCTCTAATCCCCTTAGTATCTTCTAGCCTCCAGTACGTGGAAGGAAAGTTGAGTTTGAATTTTGTAAGAATAATAGCGGGAAATTACATTTTCTCTTTCAGATTACAGCCAACAAATATGTTAAGCCGTGGCACAAAGCCAAAGCAGAATTGCTCACGAGTCGTGAAACGGAGCACTGGCTTCTGATACAGGCATGCAGCTTCACTTACACAGGACCTAAGACCCTCTTTGTTTTAGGGATACTGTCTTCTAGTTTGGTTTAATAGTCTTTCACCTGTATGCTATCATGGAAACCCATCAACCTATTTGTCATGGTCAGAGGTCACTTGAATCTCAATTGACCTCCTTCCCTTCTCTCCTCCAGGCACTGTCTACCTTCCCCAATCCCAAATGCAGTCATTCTAATGTTGTGGGGGGGAAGCTGCCTCTGGAGCCACCCAAAGTGTCAGGTCTCTGTCTCAGCATTCCTCTTTGATTCTGGCTCCTTCCCAGGGCACCAGCACAAGACTCCGAGCTCTGATGGACATGATGGGAGGAGTTCTGGAAGTCAAGAAGGAAGACATTTTGAGAATGGTGATATTTCTGTTCATCCTTGTGGATGGTGGAATGGGGTGGAAAGAGCTACTTAAATTTTACCGTTTTTGTCCTAGATAAACCTTGGTTTTAGAAGTTCTACAGCAACAAATATTCTACAACTTCCAAAGTACCTCATAAACATACCACACTAGGGCCTGGCGTGGTGGCTTATGCCTGTAATCCCAGCACTTGAGGAAGCTACGTGAGGAGGCCAGAAGTTCAAGGCAGGAGGCCAGGAGTCCAAGGCTACAGTGAGCTGTGATCATACCACTGCACTCCAGCCTGGGAGACAGACCCTATCTCAGAAAACCAAAACCATACCACATTAGGCAGATAATAAATTTCAAACTGCAGGTTTGCCTTCCAATCTGACAAGACACAAACAAATCAACAAAAATAAGTAACTATAGTGGTTTTGGTCTCTACTGAAGGCAGGAATACTGTTTCATCAGTAATACTTCAGATACACCAGGAAACATTTTTTTTTTAATACCTAACATAGGTGTTCCTAGATCTCAGGGGTAGTTATAGCTATAAAAATACCAAAACACCCCTCTGAGTACATCACCTAAGAGTCTAGGTATATCCCACCCTGCTCACCTTCACCTAAGTCACAGAAGAACTGTCGTAACATTTTAAAATATCTTTTACCCAAGATGTCAGGTCATTGTCCTTGCCAATGTGAAGGACTGTATCCTTTTAAAGGGCTTTTTAAAAAAACTCTGAGCTTTTACTGTACTACTGCATTTATGTTTGAGCTGAAATATGTGCTTTTCTTCATATCTTCAGGTGATTCCTCAACCTGCTTTCATGGCAAAACCTGATGCTGTATGGACTGAAGAAGAAAGAAAACAATTCAAAGATTATGAGAAAAAAGTAAAGGAGTTAAATGAAGAAAGAGATAAGTATAGAAAGGTCAGAAGAGCAAAGAATTAATATAACCTACCATATCCAGAGTGCTGTTTAAATATCTTTTCAAATGTTTTCTATTTTCTCAATATCTTTAATAGCTTAAGGATAGTGTTTTAGCTTAAGTTCTCAAGAATATTTAGGGAAGTAGGTGGAGATATATTTAAGGAGTTAAAATAATTTTAAAGCAAAGAAACCTGTCCACATTTTTATATAGCAATAGAGTTTTTTTTTAAGCTTTTATTGATTTCAGCATTTCCCATGTCATTACAATTTATTTCTTCATTCTACAGGTGTTCAATGAACACCTATTACATGTTCAAGTCACTACAAGGTATTGCTCTGTGTTGTGTACATTTATTTCAATTCAGTAATACTTTTGCTTGATTTGTTCACCATTTCAAAAAAAGGATTTGAAGAATGAATGGCACAATCAATGCAGTATGTTATTTACAACTCTAATTCAAAGTTTTTACAGTGCAGTTCTTCTACTTTTATCCCCGTCCATCAGAAGGAAATACTGTAACATTAAAATTACTTATAATTACAGTAGAGATATAAAAGATGATCGTGTGCAGCCAAGTAGATAATATTTATTCTTCTGTGAAGGAAGTAAAGTCATACCATCATTCAAGGTAGGACAGCTTGCCAGCTTGCTAGTGGCTGTATCTCATGAAGAGCTTCTTTGAATCTGTTGTGAACCTGTCCACATTTTTATTCACTGCATCCCTCCAGGGTCCCTTGTATTTTAACCTAAAATGGTACTTACCTAAAGCCAAAATCAGTAATGCTGAAAGAAGTAAAGATTTTAAAGGGTTAGGGAGTATAGCTGCCTAAGGAATAAAGGCTGGTGACCTATCAACTACATTTACTCCACAGTTTTGTGTTGTTAGATAGTCCACAGCCTGCACCATCACTTCCTGCACCTTCTTCATACTCGCTGCTGAAACCCCAGCCTTGATTAAATGGTACTCTGCCTTCTCTGCACCTGCATCCATGAAGTGGCTAAAGAAAAACTATTGACTGGGTTTAAACAATGCCTTAATCTCAGCTGGGTCCTTAGGGCTGCTCCACAGTGCTACTCCATTTTTCCCCTAGCGAAGCACTCTCACACTTGAATGTGAGTCTGTGTCACCTGGGGGATTTGTTAAAAATGCAGATTCAAATTTCATTGTTGTTCTGGGAAAATGGAAGGATGCTGAGATTTTGCATTCCAAACCAGCTATTGCTGGCCAGTGGGACCCTAATTTAAGTAGTAGGATCCTACAATACCATTTTACGCCCATTGCTCATCTCTCAAACTTTCAGCACCTGTTGCCCTCAACTAATTCTCACCTTATTTTCTATTTCACTAAGAGAAGAGAAACAACTAAAAGTGATTTCCCTTACTCCTCTACTGCCACATCCACCCCCGACCTGCACGGAATCCATGGCAGCTGGCTTTCTGCTTCCTATGGATGAAATGGCCTTGCATCCACCTAAGCCCGGTCCTCCCCTGGTACACTAGCCACCATCCCATCTCACCTACTCAGTGTCATTACTCATCAGTTTACCCTCTTCTTTCCTGCATCATCAATTTTTCCCTCCCTGTGGATTTTTCCCATTGGCATAGACACATGCTATAATTGTATATGTCTCTCATCTTATTAAAAAAAATACTTCCTGGAAGGAAATGCTAGGGTTCTTTCTGCTGTTCTTGTGACATTTGGGTCAGTTGGAATTTATTTCAAAACAAAGAGTTAAAGGAAAAAAAACAACTGCTTTGACTTCTCTTTCCCCTGGATCTACTCAATGCCTCTGGTCTCCTTTACAGCAAAACTCAAAAAAATCTGTGTTAATGGTTTTCAGTTTCTCTCTCTCTCAAAAAAAATCTTGTATTGTGGAAAATGTCAATCATGTATAAAAGTAGAGAGAGCAGTATAATGACCCCTTTGTCCAGATAATTCTACAATTATCTACTCGTGGCCAGTCTTATTTCCTTTTATACCCCCACTTACTTCCCTAGCATTGGATTATTTTTCACCAATTTTTATTTTAGAATGATTCAAATGTACAGAAATGTTGCATAAATAGTACCATCTATATACCACACATTTATACCATTAGCATATATATTATGTTATATATATACCTGTGCACATCAGTTTTTTATATTGCCACATTTGTTCTCTTTATCTCCTGAATAGACAAATCACAAATATCATGATACTCCTATATAATACAGCATAAACCTTCTAAGAACAAAAATATTCTTCTACATAACCACAGTAAAATTATCATACAAAAGAAGCTTAATATTAATGTGATTATCTAATTAAGTCCATATTCAGATTACCCTGTTATCCAAGTAATGTCCTTCATAGCTTCTTTGTTGCTGTTTATCCAAAAATCTAATCAATTGCACTTAGTTTTTAATGTTCTTTTAGTCTCCTTTAATGCAGAACAGTTCCATGGCTTTGTGTTGGAGTTCCATGACATTGACATTTTTTAAAAATTGAGGCCAATTTTTTTGTGGAATGTCTCCCAAGTTGAATTTGATTGTTTTCTCATGATTAGATTTAGGTGCAAATTTTTGACAATCATACTAAGTAGATGATGCTGTGTCTTTGGTGCATCATATCAGGAGGCTCTTGATTTCAGTCAGTCCCACTATTGGTAACATTAAGTATGATCACAGGTAAGGAGGGTTTCTCTAAATTTTTTTATTGTAAGTTCTCTTTCTCATTTGTGTGGTGACATTTTGAGTCTGACTCTCTGTTCATTCTGTCTTTTGGCATCTATTGATGATCCTTGCTTGAATCAATTATTACCATAGTGATTGCAAAATGGTGCCTTTCTAGTTTTTATCATTTACTCCATATTTATTCGTTAGTATTCTTCTGAAAAGAGGAGGTTTCCTCTGCCCTACCGAGGCATACTCTAACTTAATGTGTTTTAATCCATGACTGTCATTATTATTTCTGTTGTTCTAATTGTTTGGAGCTTCTTCAAGTTATTATCTGTGTCCTTTTCACCTGTCCACATCAGTTTTTGAGCACTTTCTCCGTTTCTAACACAATAAGATCTTCTAGGTACCTAGAATCAGCTAAATTTTTTTAAAAGAATCCTGGATTCCTTTTACTGGGAGTTGGTATTTAGAGACCAAGATCTGGACACTAAATGTGCTCTTTGCTGTAGGGGTTGAGAGTCATTCTCTGTCTCCCTCCCTCTCTCTCTCTTACACACACACACACATACATACATACATACATGCATACATACATACACACACACATACATACATACAGTTAGCTCCAGTTCCAACCCAATTCCAGTTCAACAGCACAGGGTTCTTTTCTCTTTCCTTCATTTAATATTTAGACTCCTTTTTCAGTGAAAACTCTAGTTCCCAAAATATAAATATACTTACTGATTTGCTCAGTCTTACAATGTGTATAAAATACCTCTATCAAAAATGCTTCCCCATTTGCCCCCTATGTTTTTTTCATCTAACTGTCTCTGCCTCTTCCCAGAGATTCCAGCTGGCTAGAGGCTGAGCCCTTTGGTAACAACATTTTAGGGAACATGAGCACAATGCATAATGTTCTTAAAAGCACGTTGTGATGTGTACATTTTGTAATTACCTTTGGTGTTGTTTTATAGCAACCGTTCGTAAAACATTCCAAATACTTCTACATCTCTGCAATCTAATCCCTTTGTCACTTTTGGAAGGTGACTTTTCAGCTTAATGCGCATTGCCCTCTCCATAGAGGAAGGAAAAGTGTATGGGCCTGCCTTACTGAGAACTAAACAGAGCCCAGGGAAAGACTCCCCTGTGGGCAACCACGTTGTTCTCTGCAAAGTATCAGCCAAAACAGAAAGGTGATTCCAGGAGGTGTTAACCAAACAAGAACAACAACAAAAATGTGCAGTTAAGGTTTTCAGCTTTAAGGTATCTTTGGACAATGCTACTTTTACTTGTTTTTTTTTTCATTAGAAGTGACCAAAATTAAGATGACCTCTGAGGCCAAATTTTTGTCCCATCCCTCTCCCCTTCCCAACTGCTCACAGAATGGACCATGTGCTCCTTATGCTGAGAGGACCACTTACTGGCTCTCCTGCCTCCTTGAAATAAAGAAATAAGATTACGTTTTTGCCACCAATTTAGCCATATAAACGCCATCTCCTTGCCCTTTTCTGGGTTTGGAGCTGCTGTCACTAAAAGTGCCATCTCATTGTCCTTTGTTTCAGGGTGCTGGAGAAATTTTGAACAGGTTATGTACAAAACCTTTTACATTTTATATTATTTTAGAACTTTGCTTCTTTGGGTTTGTGGCATCCGGCCACCCTGTCTGGCTGTGAGAGCTCTCTAAAGTCTGTGGGCTGGCAGTTTGCTGATCATTTAAAGATTCTTTCCCTACCCACTCCCCACTTTTTGGTAAGGTTTTTGTGTAAGGTCTGTTAGGTTTACATCCTGAAGCTTATTGGCTTAAAATGTACTCTCCTTTGATGTAGTCTGTTTGGGGCTGACTGGGAGAAAGAGAAACCAATAGTGCAGCCATTTTGATACTGAATATTGACAGGTATATTTTTGGAAATAAAGAACCAGTCCCTCCAAAGAAACAAACAAATACTGTGGCAATTTTCAGATTTCCTTGTACTTTTTTTATTCTTAGAATATAGCCCACTAAGAGGACACCAACATATTATGTTGAGAATTACTTTGACTAATTCTTTTTTCCACTTTCTGGGTGGATAACATTCATTACCAGTTTGATATACAGTTGACTTCTTTAAGCAATGGTGTTCTTATTTGAAGGGGAAGAGGCTGGTGTGTCTCTGATTTTATTGTTTTTTCTTTTGTTTCTGCATGACCCCTAATTTCTACCTCTTCCTTCTTTCCCTTTTCTCCCAAGTCTCCACAGGCCACCTCCCTCTTTCAAGTTGCTGTTTTCTCCCCTGCACCTCTGCCTTTTAAGTCCCTTCTTTTTTATTTCAAAGTAGCTGCTTTTCTGACACCTCTACAGCTACCACCCTAATGCAAACTACTGTCAGCTTTCCCAGGATTTATTGCCTTAGTTCCTCTGCCCCCTGCTCCCTACCCCCTTCCCCAATCCCTGTATCCCATCTCACTTCATCTCCTATCATTCTTTCCCTCAATAACTGTTCCAGTTCCACTGATTTCCTTATTGTTCCTCAGATACCCAGCAAACTCTTTACTCAAACACCCATAGCTCACATTCTCACTGCAGGTCCTTGGGACACTGTATCCTTGGCCTGGAGCTCTCTTCCATTTAGCTACATGATTCTCATTCTCATCACTTTGGGATCTCTACTCAATTGTCACCTCTTCCCTGTTATGGTGGAGATGCCTGCTTCTCCTCAGTCCTGCTGTATGTCCCTTTTTCCCTGCTTTATGGTTCTCCGTAATACTTATCACCACTGGCTGACTTCATTTTTACCTGTTTATTTATTGTCAGTCCTCTCTACTAAAATACAATATGAGGGAGGAGGACTGGCTTTTTTTAATATTATATTCTTAGTTTTTAGAACTATACTCAATCAATAATAAGCACTTAAGGAAGATTTCTTGAATGAATAAATGAATTTATTGATACCTGTTATCAATAAAGAGTGCCAGGCACTCTTCTTTCTGAGTACTGGGGATTCATATATTAAAGGATACAGCCTTTGCCTTCACCAGCCTGGTCAGCTAAAACAATACCTTCTTAAATGGCAGGCCATTTCTTTTGTCCTTGTTTCAGAGCTGGGAGAAATTCTGGGTGTGATGGATTTCTGCATGGTTCATACAAACCTCCTACTTGGTTTTTCACTTTGCATGTCCCCCACTTCTCATTTCTCAGTATCTGATACAGACATTTTTAGGCAAAATTAGATTTTTCTAGGAATGTTTGAAAAAAAATGACATTCATGTCTTTAACAAATATATTCCTTGAGTGCCCACTATGTGCTTGGCACAATGGCAGGTCCTGAGGGATGTGCATGAACAAGACAGACCTGGCGTCTCCTCCCCGACTCTCTTCACTATAACCATTATGTGGAGTGGAGATGGTTATATAGTAACTGTGCATTCGCAAGATAATTATTTAATGGGAATGTGGTAAATTAGAAGGGTAAGTTCAGAGTGCCATCTATGAAAGTGAACGCAGAGGCACTGACTTAGATCAGCCACTGGTACCCACCAGGTCCCCTTTGCAGGCTGCTGTGCCCATCCCTCACTGCTATGAGTGCTCCTGATAGAGGCTTACACCTGAGATCTTCTCTAGAATGTTGCCCTTGGATGATCGAGGGAGCCTCCTTGTCCAGAGACATCCCCAAGTTTACACCACTGCTCCCACCCAGGGCAGCCAATGATGGGCTGATAGAGCCCGAGGGGAAGGGGGCACAAAAGCTCAGCCTTTTCACCCCAAGGTGAGACAACTCAGCAGGACCCCTCTCATTTCTCCCAACCCTGGGAATCAGGCCAAGGCTGAGCCACCTGATATGGCATCATTGCTCAGCTCTTGCCCTTTGCCCGCCCTGCTCCGCTCATCCCCTTACAGGTGTCTCCTAAAGAGTGCTCCCTCCAGAAATCATGTGCATTGGAATCTTGTTTCAAGCCTTGCTTCTAAGTCTTAAGACAGGGTCCAAGGAAGTCTTTCTTGAGAACATGGCATTTATGCTTGCATTGGAAAAGTGAGAAAGAGGTTGAAGAGTAGGAAATGAAGCATAGGCAGACAGAAGAGCATGTGAGAAGGACCTGTAATGAGAATAATTTGGGGTATGTGAAGAAGAAATGGCAAAGGGCCATTTTACATTACGAAAAGATTCTTTCAGGACCAGAGACCCTCAAAAGACCCAGAATCTCAGTGTTTTTAAAAAAGGGTACATCTAAGAGACGTAGACAATCTGGCCTCAGCAAGCTGAGTCTGTGGCCATTTACCATATGCTCATGTTTTCATTATCTAGCAGTAGGTGAACCTGTTCACCAGGAGGACATAGTCCATGGGACTTTTCCATGGCTATGAGATAGTGATATAAATTATTACAAGCAAATGACCCTGAGATGTGTTTTTTCATATTTGTTTGTTTTATTTTCATATCTCCTCACTGTTAGCTTTATTTGGATGGTCTTTCTCCTGGCATCATATGTCTCTATTATTTTTGCTAAACCTCTTTCTTCATGATCCTCCCAGAATCAGTCTCTTTTCTTATTAATCTGGCATAGAGAGAACTTGGCTTTTTAAACTCTTTAAACTGTTGTATATTTAAACTATTTACTACCGTCATAGTAATTATTAATTTGAATAAGAATTATCAATGGATGCTAAAGCTGGTAAATAAAAGTGTGATGAGAAACAAGATATTTACCTAGTCTCAAATTATCTTTCCACAAATTCATAAAGCACAGATGGAAAAACGAACTTTACAATAGAGAAAGTGGCAGACAGTATTTAACCAAGTGACCCAAGTTAACATCTCCGATGATGAAGCAAACCAACATCATGTATCTCCTGATGGGGTAGATAGAGAAGGACATAACATGACTTATGTAGTGTTCCTGCTAAAAATGTATAACCTGGCTGTACAATTGAGAAAACATCAGATAAACCTAAACTGAATGACATTCTACAAAATAAGTGGCCTGTCTTCAAGTGTCTGCAAATTATTCTCAAACGGTTCAGAAAAGTGTAGGAAGAAAAGTAGAGAGGTGGGGCGATAGAGAGATAAAGTGATAAAGCAAATAGGGTAGAATGTCTACAATTGGTGACTTTGAAAAAGGTATATAGGAATTCTTTGTACTGTTCTTGCAACTTTTCTGTAAGTTTGAAGCTACATCAAAATAAAAAGTTACAAACAAATTTAAAAATAAAAATGATTTATAACAATATACCTCATATTTTTACACGTTTTACTTTCTATATTTTTAATTTTTATGGGTACAAAGTAAGTGTATATATTTGTGGGCTACATGAGATGTTTTAATACAGGCATACAATGGGAAATAATCACAACATGGAGAATGGGATATCCATCTGCACAAGCATTTATCCTTTGGGTGACAAACAATCCAGTTACACTCCTTTAGGTATTTTTTTAATGTACAGTAAGTGATTGTTGACCATAGTCACCCTGCTGTGCAATCAAAATTATACCTCATATTTTGATGTTGTTCTCTTTAAAAATATAAATTTATAGCTTTTCACTTATGTGCAGGTATAATTTTTTAAAAAGAAAGAACAAGGGAACTTTTTCCTTTTGATGTAGAACTGTTTGGAGAGACAAAACATACAGAAAACATGAGAGTACAAATATATAAATACATATAAATATACATTCCCTTCTTATTTCCTTAAAATAGAAATAATTCCATGAAAATGACCAGTGCTTGAAAAAAATAAAAATTTTTTAGGGCTAAATCATGTGTCTGGAAATTGCTGTCCTATATAAAGAGTAAGGATTTTCTGGAAAGATTTGCTGCAATTTGCTTTCTTAGGCCTACTTCTGCCTGTATCATTAGCCATGATCAGTAATTTTAAGCTTTTTTTCCCAATGTAATTTTTCTAAGCAAAAATCAAAAATCTCAACACACAGTATATTAAACAAATCTAAGTAGAGCATCTCTAATTGAAGAGGGTACAGGGCCCAGAACACCTTACAAGAGCTGCCCTCCACCTGCCCCTCCCTTTTGGTGAAATGTAACCACTTCCTAGGAGTCTTTAATATTCCTAAATGTTAACTTTACTATTGACTTCCTTTTAGTCATTAGAAGCAGAATTGAAGAAACTTCAAAACTCTATTCAGGAAAGCACACAGGCCTTTGATGAACATTTGAAAAGACTTTTTGAAAGGAGAGTGAAGGCAGAGATGGTTACCAACCAGGTAAATAAAAGCTTTACTTATGTGACTTTTAAGGAGATTGCAGAGCCCTTCCATAGTTCTTAGGATAAAGATTAACATCCTTACCAGGTGTTGAGATCCTGTGTGTTCTGCGCTCTGTGTGCCTCTCCAGTTTCTACTTGTGCACCTTCCCCTTGACCTGCCACACTTCCTCTTTCAGCATCTTGAACACACCCAATGCCCTCCCTCCTCATGCCTCTGCCAACTCTGGCAGTAATACTCTTTACCAACTTCTTTACTTCCTGAACTATATTCATCCTTCAGATCCCAGCTCAAATATCATTTCCTCAGGACTAGGTAATACCTTCCTATTGCATACTCTATTTTTTTCCCTCTCTACCATTTATTGCCACTGAATTGTAATTTATATGAGATTATTTTTAATGATTTCAAGACTATATACTCCATGAGTGTAGGGACTAAGTCTGTCTTGTTCATCCCTGTGTCTCCAGCAAATAGCAAATGACTCGGTTCATAGTATATGTTGAATGAAAAGTAATCCTCATGTCCCAAATGATCAGATGGAAAAAAAAAAAAATCTATCTTAATTATCTCCAGCTGTAGGAATAATGTAATCACTGGCCTGGCAGGGAGTGGGTATATGGATATACTGGGAGTGAAGGGGAAGATTGGAAATGAATACTCCAGCCTAACAGCAGCATTAGTCATAGCCAAAAGGTGAAAACAATCTAAATATTTAACAGCTGAGAGTGGATGAGTAAAATATGGTGTATCTATATAAGGGAGTATTATCCCACAATAAAAAGGAATGTGCTAATATATGGTACAACATGGATGAAGCTTGAAAACTTGCTAAGTCAAATAAACCAGACAACAAAGGCCACATATTATATAATTCCATTTATGTGGAATCACATAATTTCTAGAATAGGCAAACTTATAAAGACAGAAATTAGAAAGTTGTTGCTTTTGTGGGGAGGAGGAGGCCTCTGTGAGGTAACAGAGGGGCAGATGGGAAATGACTGCTAAAAAGGATTTTTGGGGAATGAAGAAATGTTCTAAAATGGATTGTAGTGATTGTTACATAACTCTGTGAATATACTAAAACACACTGAATTATATACTGTAAATAGTGAATTGTATGGTATGTGAATTATATCTCAACAAAGTTGTTATTTTTTAAAGGTATGCTGAGAACCCCTTGTCATGCAAGTTAATGAGGAAATTATCAGACTACTCAATAATATCAAAATAATTCAGGAGCTAATTTAAAACATTTCCCTTAAATGAGACAACTATTATCTTTTAGTAGTTGCAATTAATTAAACCCATCACATTTGTTTAAATTTATGAATTTGTGATATTTTAAAAAGAGAAGTGCCAATCAGTCACTTTCAGAGGATGATAACAAATTCATTATCTAAAAACTGATAAAGGGAACAACGCATCAAGTATTTATTCTGCCTTTCCTATACAAACTGAAGTATACCACTAGGAAACCAAATAGTAGATGATGAGAAGCATCTCTTTATAAAAGTATGTCAATTAATAAGTGAAAAGGGAAATTAAAAACAGATGTTCACTATTTTGCATCTTTCAATGGATTAATGAACCCGGGCATTGAGTATCTACAGCTGCTGACATCACAGAAAGAAAATCGGATTATATACGTCTCCGGATCAAAGAACACAATACCACCTATAGTCTTGTTAAAAGGATCAAACTTAGATTTGATCAGGCCTCTGGACCCAGCTGCCATTTTTCAAGAAATAAAAAAGATGAAGCTTCAATAAACTACATCATGAATATACAGGCATTAAAACCAGACAATTCAACACTGATAACTATGAATAAATTTTGAGGAAAAGAAAGAAATGAAACATGAAGATTACAAGAGATTTATTTATTTTTAACCTTTATTTTAAGTTCAGAGGTACATGTGCAGGTTTGTTATATAGTTAAACTCATGTACAGATTATTTCATCATCCAGGTAGTAAAAAGAGATTTAAAAGACATGAAAAAAAATTATGAATAAGTTATACTGTATTGCCTAGGTTTCTTAGTCTGTTTTGTGTTGCTATAAATAATACCTGAGGCTGCATAATTTATAAAGAAAAGAGGTTTATTTGGCTCATAATTTTGCTGGCTAGAAGGTGCAAGATTGGGCATCTGATGTGGGCCTCAGGCCACTTCCATTTATGGCAGAAGGTGAAGGGGAGCTAGTGTGTGCAGAAATCACATGGCAAAAGAAGAAGCAAGAGAGGCTGCAGGGGTGTGGCAGGCTCTCTTTAACAACCAGCTCTCAGGGGAACTAATAGAGTATAAACTCACTCATCCGTGAGGGCGGACATTGATCTATTCATGAGGGATCCAGCCCAGTGACCGAAACACCTCCCATTAGGCCCCACCTACAGCACTGGGGATCACATTTCAACATGAGGTTTGGAAGGGACAAATATCTAAACTACAGCAGTGTACACCCCTGGGTAATAAAACTGCAAAGAAACACAATATATAGTAAAAGTTAAGACAGTGGTTAGTACTGGGGTTGAGATTTTGATGAGGACTCCTGGAAGAAGCATCTGCAGTCAAAGTTCTCTGTCTTGCAATGAGTGGTGCTAACAAGGGTGTTTGCCTTTATAATAACCCATTAAATCATAAGTTGATATTATTATTTTTTGTATATGTGATTTACCTAACAATGAAATGATGAAAAAGGTAAAATAACTAAAGTTGTTGCAATAAGCTATGTTCCCTTTTTCTTTAAAATATTTCTTTTACCTCTATGTCATAAACTTGCTTGATTCATGCCAAGTCTATAGAAAATACTGTCTCAGGTAGAATTATTGATCATTTCCACCAAACTTTTTCTTAAATATTTCTACAGGAGGAATTGAAAATAAATAATCTTGCATTTTCTTTACTGTTGGATGAAGAATTAAGCTCCAGAGAAAAATTTCTGAACAACTACCTTACAAGGAAGCAGCAGGAGAAAGTAAGTATAGTGTCTGAAATCTGAATACAAACATTTTCTGATACACATGCTCCTTGTGAGCAAGAGCTCATGTGTCTAGACCCTTCTTTCCTTCCTTCCACCATTCCCACATAACCATGTGCATCCCTTGGCTCCCTGTCCGGAACTTTGCTCCAGGGCCAGATGAAAGTACCCATTCCAATCTGTGTAAGTTATGTGATTCTGCATCTGCAGTCATTTAGCCAAAAGAACTGTGTAGCTTTCATATGGCGTGGTTTATAAAATGAGGCCATGTAGCTTCATGGTTGAAAGCACTGGCTGTGGGACCTTGTACAAGGCCTATAACCTTTTAAGCTGTTTACAGGCTCTTCTTTAGGGAATGTTTCTCTCTCTGGACCATTTGACACTCTAAGATTTACTAAGATGCAAGCAATGGGCTCGCCTATAGATGAAAAACTGTTGTATTATGAAAAACTCTAAATATGAGCATGGATAGATATTTCATTAAAAAGACAGTGAATACCAAATGCTTATCATGTAAATATGTTTCAACAGATGTCAGCTTTTATTAGTAGTATTAATAAAGAGCATTTATGAATGTGTGACTTGTAACATAAATAACATATGAACTTAACCTTTTTCTAAGAGCCTGTTAAATAGCATATGCAAAGCAGCTTCTAGATACAACATTACATATAACAACCCTACAGCATACTAGATTTCTTTCACAGATGAGGATACCATCTCAGAGAGTCTGGGTAACATGCCTAAGTCAGCCACTAGTGTGTAATAGTGCAGCAGCTGGAACTGTGGGAATAAATGAAGACCATCCAAATGCAAATGAGCAGAGGCTGTTTATTCTGAGCTTGGCACAGCAAGGAACTCATCCACTGTCAGTTTTTTGGCAGAGACTCAAAGGCAGGAAAGGAGTGGGAAAGCTTTATAATACAAAGGGAGGACTTCAGGTGCAACATGATTGGAAGTTGTTGGCCTGAGGAAGCTAGAGGCAAACCAATTAGAAGTGGGACAACCCGTGTGATTGGTTTGGTATTTGGCTTTCTCTGGATGGTCCTGGGTTGGAAATGGCGACAAAATTATGGAAGCTGGTGGTTATAATCAAGCCATGAAAGATTGAGGTCAATCCTTACAAAGGCTGTGGTTTAGTTTCCCAGCTGGTGATTGTAGAGGTTGTGGGTCAGAGTTCTGTTGTATATGGTCTGGCCCTTGTCTACATGTATATTCAGTCTCTCAGAACCCCGTTCCAAGTGATCCCAAAGCCTGTGCGCTTCATCCTCCACACTGACCTACTAAGAATGTAGTGTGCTCCGTAGACACTCACATGCTCACATACAGAGCTATTTAGAAACAAGTGATTGGGTGTTCTTTCAAAGTCCCTGGTTGGTTTATTTTCTTCTATAAATGTTATCTATAATGAACACTTCACAGACATATTTCCCTCGTACTAGGAAATTTCTTGCTCTTTTTAGTATTCCCAATATTTATGTTTTTGCTGGAAAGTCTCCAGTTTCAATCAACTATTCCTGATGCTGTTATAGAGCCAGACTTCAGAAGCTGTCCGGAAATCTAGAGAAGACCTGGATGTGTACAAGGAGCACTATGACAACTTGCTGGCAGAAGACAAAGTGAGAGTCATTGTCTTACTCACTGGACAGTGCAGTAGAGTTGTTGCTGCCTAGATTGGAGGAAGGTTAAAGGGGATATAATATAATTTTCTCACAGAATTTTCTCCCACTTAATTCTCAGTTATGGGTGAACTTCATTCTATGCCATTGTATATTTTTGAAAATCCATGTGTAAAATGAATTTTTACAAGCTTTTCTGGTTTAAGCTGTCTCTTAAACAAAATACAGGGCAATCATCTAGGCTTTAAGGCTTTTCAAACGTTAGGTTGCAGACCCCGTTACTGGGCCATGAAATCAATTTAGTAGGCTGTGACCAGCAGTTATATAATGGAAAAGAATAGGATGGAATAGCATAAAGAAGACAGAATGGAATAGAAAAGAAAATAATAGGGTAACATTCATGTTTTTGGGGTAAATATATTTTAGGAAACTTCTTGGGGAAACTTCTAGATGATTTCTAAGACCTCTTACATAATATTTTTAATACACTTAGATGCTTCTTATTCAAAACAAACATTTGAGAAATCTTTGCACAGAGAATGGTTAATATCTAACAACTTTATAAATCAAGGTTTCATGAATTTTTAAAACCAAAATGCTACAACCTGTATTTTGAAGCATATTGTTAACAAATAAAAGATTTCCAAACCAAGTTGTAATCCTCAAAATCACGTGTTTGGCTGGGCGCGGTGGCTCAAGCCTGTAATCCCAGCACTTTGGGAGGCCAAGGCGGGTGGATCACGAGGTCAAGAGATCGAGACCATCCTGGTCAACATGGTGAAACCCTGTCTCTATTAAAA